AATATTAAAAACAATTAAAAGATATATAAATTTGGCCCAATTAAAACTCATTTACCAATTAAAAACGTTTAAAACATTTAAAAACAGTTAAAAATTTCATCTTAAGCCAGCCCGGCTTGTTTAAATAAATGGGTTTTAAGGGCGTGACGGAAGGCACTGAGGTCTTGGATTCTCCTTATCTCTGGGGGGAGCTGATTCCAGAGGGTAGGTGCCCCCACAGAGAAGGCTCTCCCCCTGGGGGTCACCAGCCTGCACTGTTTGGCTGATGGCACCCCGAGGAGGCCCTCTCTGTGGGAGCGCACGGGTCGATGGGAGGTCGTTGGTAGCAGCAGGCGGTCTCGAAGATAGCTAGGCCCTATGCCATGGAGCGCTTTAAACCAACACCTTGAAGCGCACCCGGAAGACAACTGGGAGCCAGTGCAGCTCGCGCAGGAGCGGTGTTACATGGGAGCGCCATGCTGCTCCCGTCACTACCCGCGCTGCTGCGTTCTGGACCAGCTGGAGCCTCCGGGTGCTCCTCAAGGGGAGCCCCATGTAGAGAGCGTTGCAATAGTCAAGGCGAGAGGTGACGAGGGCGTGAGTGACTGTGCACAGGGAATCCCGATCAAGAAAGGGCCGCAACTGGCGAATCAGGCGAACCTGACAAAAGGTCCCCCTGGTTACAGCCGTCAGATGTTCCTCCAAGGACAGCTGCATATCCAGAAGGACTCCCAGATTGCGAGCCCTCTCTGTGGGGGCCAATGACTCGCCCCCAATAGTCAGTGATGGAGTCAACTGACTATATTGGGATGCCGGGAGCCACAGCCACTCAGTCTTGGAAGGGTTGAGCTTGAGCCTGTTCCTCCCCATCCAGACCCGTACAGCCTCCAGGCACTGGGACATCACTTCAAGGGCATCGTTGGGGTGGCCTGCATCAAACTCAAAGAAACTCATCAAAGAAAAATTGAGAATTTGAATAAAAGAACCTAAGACCACATTGATATATTTCTTTTTAAATTTTGCCTATGGTATAGATAATATTTTGTCATATTGTCCATTTTCAAAAACTATGTTGAAAACACAAAAAGGGAAGGAGGGAGGGAGGGAGGGAGGGAGAGAGGGAGGAAGGAAGGAAGGAAGGAAGGAAGGAAGGAAGGAAGGAAGGAAGGAAGGAAGGAAGGAAGGAAGTTGGATAAGGAGCATCAGGCAAAGTGCAGAAAAAGAACAGTAAGCAGCTAAATCTAGTTTTGGTCAATACCATTCACCGTACACTACTTGTGGATTCTATTTTAAACTTTAACCATCCTTGCTTTTATGAGTAGACTGACTTTTCTTCTTTAGAAAAGTCTTCTCTTTCTTTGAGAACCTCATCAACTCCATTCAACCATAACAGTCTTGAGTTTCCTCATTCCTTCATGTATTTCTTTTGCAATTTAATATTACATCCTATTTCAGTCTTTCTATATACCCAACTCTCTCTACATATTTTTATATTGATAATTCTTTCCTGAATCCAATCCACATTGATTCAGCACCTAGTTTTACTTAACTCTATTTTTTCTTGTTTTCCACATAAAGTTCTGAAATAATGCATTTCCATTGTATATCCAACACTCACTTCCCCACAACATTTATTTCCTTTAACATTCATTTCACTAAACAAGCACATCATTTACCATCATTACCATACACGACTAGCATCTTCCCAACTTTAGTAACCATTCTACCAGGATACACAAATTTAGCTATTTGCTTTAATTTTTTACAATGCACATGTTATTTGCAATCATTTACGCCAATGGCAGTGTCAAACATGACTGCTTTGATTTCTTATCCATACTCATTGCAAAACAGTCTAACAAATGAATCTTGGTGGCGCAGTGGTTAGAGTACAGTACTGCAGGCTACTTCTGCTGACTGCTGGCTGCCTGCAATTTGGCAGTTCAAATCTCACCAGGCTCAAGGTTGACTCAGCCTTCCATCCTTCTGAGGTGGTAAAATAAGGACCTAGATTGTTGGGGGCAATATGCTGACTCTGTAAACCGCTTAGAGAGGGCTGTAAAGCACTATGAAGTGGTATATGAGTCTCAGTGCTATTGCTATTGCAAATGCTGTAAATATTAGGTTCTTTGCAGCAAGCATTATCTTGTAGTCAAAGTACATATATATCCACATCCCCAACAAACCAAAAACTCTCTCTATAAATTTACTCAAAAATAAATCAAACAATCTATTGGACATTGTTTTATTCTTGTCATATTCTGTGATTGAACCACTTAATCATTGCATTAAGTCTCACACATTATTTGTTTCCTCATATACTGCTCTTGTCGCATTTAGCAATCAACTTTCAACTCCATACATATGCAAAACATCCCGTTATTCAAACCTATTCATTTCATACTATGGCTTTGAGCAGCCACAATTTTCACATAACACTCCAAATAAGAAAAAGTTTTAGGTTATTAACCTCAAATTATACCCTTGCCATATGAAACTCGCTCTGCTAATGATAAAGTCATACTACCAGCTATACCAGCTATAGTCTTCTTGCCACATGTAATTTTATTTCAAGCATGCTCATATTAGGAGCTCTAAAGTCTGCCTTGCAAGCCAATATAATATTGTCTATCCCAACAACCAGAAATTACGTGGATTGTCTTAACACACTCAAGATATTTGAGATATGATTACAATTTGCTCCAATATTTTTTCTATCCGGGCATGGTGCTCAGACCTGAACTAAAGAAAATAATTATTCCAATAAAAAACACTTTTTCCTTAAATGGATTTTGCAATTATTGATTTTCTCCTCCCTTTGCATTTATTTCTTTCCCTCATACATTTGAACAAGCTATAAATTGTCATGCTAGCAAACTGACCAACTACAGTATAGTTTGCCTCCAAGTCAGAATTTGAATGCACAGTTTTGGAAACAAAAAGTGGTTTGCTCAAACCACAAGAGAGTATAAAAATGAAATGTGTGGGACAGGTGAAGGAGAATCTGTATACATAAATTAAAATTCTGAACGACAACATGCATAAGAATAAATTAAAAAATAAAACTTGAGTTCTAAAACATGGAATTCATTGCAATGATTATTAGAAATAGTTGAGATTGACCCAAGCATAAGGCATGAAACTCATATTCTTTATTCAAATAAGCAATTATGCAAGTAATATGACCGGACTGCTTCAATTATACATGTGTTAGAATGCTCAAATAAAATGCTAAACTTTGCATGTAGATTCTAATCTAATAAAATCCAAGTCTTGGAGAAGTCTGGAGTAAATTAAGGTTAGTGATATTTTCAAAAATAAATTCCATATTCCACAAATAGTTGTCCTAGATGATACAGCCATAGGACATCACAATAGTTTAAATAGGAATATTAAGCACATAACACACACACACACCCAAATCCCAATTAGACATAGTCACTAATTCAGGCTACAGTTGGGGTGGGGAAACTTCTTAATGTAGATTGCTTCCTTCCATTAACACTGAGCATTTGATAGACTTCTGCTTGTTGCATATGAAATGTTGGTCTGATATAAAGGCTATTTGGATTATGACACAGCTGTTGTAAGCAATTAGTTCACAAATTTAACTCTATGACCTGGCTTATTCTGTTCCTAACTGTTGGAACACTGTTCCTATGTCTAGCCATAAAGACATAGTTGATTTAGAAGTTGTGCTACATTCAAAATCTTTCCGGCCTGGAATAATAGGCAGAAATTGTTTTGGGGAACGGCTGTTGGAGTTCAGTAAGTGGGAAATTCCTAGGATTATTTAACTGAGTGCAGTTTTATGCAAGACCATTATCAACTTTTGTTGTTCTGATGATTCTCCCTCTGTTTTCTTGGTGGAATTTCGAAACAACTGGGAAAAACTTGATGAAGATAGTGACTTTTGCCGTATTCTAATACCTTCCAGATGATATATTATATTAAAATTAGAGTTGTGTTTAAAGGCAGCTTTATTCTTTAGAACTTGAGATAATTGATAATATTGATTAGATAGATAGTTATAGGGTTAGGGTAGATAATAGGTAAATGAGTTGATAATTAATAGATACATGATATATATATATATATATATATATATATATATATATATATATATATAATATTTGATATATATGATATACGTATATATGTATATATGTATGTATGTATGTATAAAGTCAGAAAGAAAGTTTGCTTAAGAGCTTGTTTGCTAGACAGAAATGCCTGAGATTAGTACTTGATGGCTTGTACAATGAAGCAAATACCAGATTGTGTCGTTGGGCCTGTTGTTCATTTATTATGAGGCAAGGTTTTATTTTTTTTCAAAGCATTGTGAGCTACACAGGACATCCTAAAAATATTCCAATTCAATTGATCTCTGTGACCAATCTATTTAGGACTTTTAAATTTGTTTCAGCAGTCTCAAGCTCCTCTGGGGGTCTTTGCTTAATCAATAAGGAAGGGTAAATAAGTAAATCTCTTGCACGCAAAGCATTCCGAGCAGCAAATTACTTTTTTTAAAAAACAAGATCAATGCATGCATAGCTACTTCGCTGCTCATCCTCATCTGACATTTTTATAGAGAATTCAGTATGAGCTACTGAGCATGATGATGGGAATTCTAGAAGGACATGGAGGGTACGATGCTGGGAATGACTTCTCTAAACTGACCAAATTACTTAGACAAACAAAATACAACTCTATTGGCATAATATGGGAAAGACATCCAAATAAAGTTGATGATTGCTTAAGGCCATGCTGTGAAATTTATACAGATGTTTGAGTTTCAAACGTGTACAAATTTCACAGCATGTCATTATAATGATGCTGGCTGGGGAATTCTGGGAATTGAAGTTCTCACATCTTAAAGTGATCAAAGTAGAGAAACACTGTACTACGGCATTGCTTTTCTAAATTATACGATATCATGGGATAGTGGTTGATCTTTAAACTATATGCCCCATGTTACTAAATTCTAAAACACTTACTTTTTTCTATTTTGTCTGTTGCAGGCAAATGGACACAGTTTTGTACATATGGAACATGAAAAAGCTGTATTACTTCTGAAGAGTTTCCAGAATACAGTAGACCTAGTTATTCAACGTGAGCTCACTGTCTAAATATTTTTTTATAAATAATAAAATATGCCTAACATTTTTTGCCAATTGCTGGACCAATGGCAAATATAGTGCCAAATGTATAATATTATATGTTAGTAATGATTACCCTGGGGAAAAATAACTATATAAATATAACTTCCAAGTGATTATGTATTATTTTTCTTTGTAAGTCTATGGCTATGCATTGGTACCAGCTTATTTTTAAAATATTCTTTTTAATTGTTTCTAGATGTCTTTATTTCAGGACACAGAAACACACACAAGTTCTTTACAAATCTTAGTCTCCATCAAAATTACTGCCTCACAATTGTTTATGTTTTTAAAAAGAAAATTATATAAAGTTATAATTCCCATAAAGTATTTCTATCTCACATAAGATATAAATTATTTATAAAGAATATTTTAGTAGTTCTATATTCAGTAACATGAGAATTGAACATAATGGGATTCACTTCTGTAGAAATAGGTCTAGAGTTGTACTGCAGACCTGTTAGCTTTTTCATTTTCCCCTTTTTTTACAATGTAAATACATATATATCTTTTAAGAGTGCAATATCCAATTTAAAATAACATTAAATTTATTTGGGAGGGTAATGGGAGTCTACATTGGCAAAACCAGGCTTTTCTCTGCTCACAATTAATTATTTAAAAAAACATATATTCCTTTCCAAGATTTACCTCAAAGAAGCTTAGAATATAAATCACAAAAATAGTAACAGTAAAAGATGTTTAGTAGGGATACTGAATCAACCTTGTTGATGGTTTGCAGATGGTTACAACTTCCATAACCTCCAAGCATCCCAACCTCTGTTTATGCTGGCAGTTCGGGCTATATGTTTAGAAGACACTAAATTAGACAAGCTGGTGTAAGCTTCTGAGGATTGTAGTCCACCATCATTAGATGAATGAAATGTTACTTTGAGTTACCAGAACATTCAGATATGGGCAGGCTTAGAATGTTACCATTCTGAACACAATGATAGGAAGGAAAGGAAATACAAGTATTTTGTTGCCCCTCACATAGTCTGAGAAAGAATGTAATTGAATATTCTTGTAACTCAAATGTCAGGCATCTGAAAACTGCCAAGAGTCTTTTGACTGCTGTGAAGTAGAAATTGCATAAATGCATAAATGTGCCACCATACATCCAATCTTTACCAGCCAAAGGACTTTGAAAACAAGCCCAACTTTGGAATTCGGGAGTTAAAATTTTTGCCATAGATTGATTAGCCCGAGAGTCCAATATTTTTCTAAATAAGGAGAGGAAAGATCAAGAAAACTTTCATTTTTTCACAATTTGTGTGTGACCATAAAGTAAGCTGTTTCTTGAATTTTGAATACCATGCTGCTATGAACAATGTCTCCGCTTTGTCTGTAATATTATTCCCTTTGGTATCCTGGACTCCAAACAATTAGATGATCACTTGCATTACCAACTTTGTGCATTGTTTCTAGAGTCAAATTAGTCTTAACTGCTGGAAAATTGGTGTAAAAAACTTCTGTGCAGAAAAATGTCCATACCAAAAATTTGTTAAACAGGAAAGATATCCCATAATGTGCACATTAGCACAATGTGCAAATAAAGGGGTGGCTTTAATAATATTAAATACTCGGGGAGGGGGATGTGCTTCCAGTTTGACTTAGAACTGAGGACGTAGTAAATAGAAATTTACAGATTAATCCATAAAATATTCTATAGACTAATGGCAATGTTTAGTTGTTTTAAAAATTAGTGCTTGTCTAGATGAGATTTAACTTTATTGTTCAAAAATATTACTCCAGGTTGTGGGTGAGAAGGAAATTTCTTTGATTCCAAAGATAGATACTCTATAGTTTAAATAAGAGGCCTTGGTTTGGAATTATTCATTCCTAACAAAAATAACTGGTTATCTCAACCTGAGTAGAAAATTAATTATGTAACAAGTTGATACTTATTAACACTTTCTCCCTAACCCTTTATAAAAACCTTGTACAAAATTAATATTTTATCCTCCTAGCGATAAAAAAACATTTAAATAATTCACAATATAAATTAGAGCTCTGCTAAATTTTAAAGGAAAAAAAATGCTTTGTAGGAATGCAAAGATCCTTTGCTTCTACATTTTAGTCATGATTTTGTTCTGCTATTCTTTTAAAAAAAGCCCTTCTTTTCATCTTAATTACTGAAATCATCTCAACCAATCTTAAATCATATAGATTTGATTAGATTATGACATCAGTAAGGAAAATGAGACTGCTTTGCTTTTTCTCTAAAATGCCAATATAAATTAATTATCAAAATCAGCATTGGGATGTGTATTACACTACACTTCTTCTTAAAAGTACAATTGCACCTTGGCAACATGTAGTTTGGAAAAGTGCAGTCGGATGTATGTCCTAATTAGCATTGGTTGTTTTGATCCTTTTTTTAAAAAAAAATGGTATCACAAAGCAGTGAACACAGCATTTCCAAGTCAAGTACTGGCTTAATTGCCATACATGGACAGCTTTCCCCCAACAGAATAATGTTTATGCTATTTAGGGGCCTTTAAGGAATCTACCTTTTTGAAGGGCATGAAATCATTAAGAAAACGTAATTCCCTCCTTCTTCTCAGGGTTAGTGCGAGTATAAAGCCAATTCATGTTTTCTCTACTATCACATTCCATCACGTCCTAGTAGTCCTTCTGAAGTTAACTATAGCTAGCTGAAGTTCCCATCTTGCAACCATCCAGTTAGGGAATGCAGAGGTTGGGAGACCAAGAAACACACCCGAGGACAATGGCAGATGTCTTCAGCCAAAGTACATCACATCCAGCTGAGTTCTAAACATCCATGTCAGAAAAGGGAGCTTAGTTGGGAAGAAGAGTTAAATATGGAAATCTTTCTCTCTTCCCGTCCCCTTAAATTTATAGAGCATCGGATAAGGAATAACGTGATCTTAAGCTGTTAGATCAGCACCAGAAGACCCAGATTCAAGTCTATCTTTAATCGTGGAAGCTGATCGGGTGGCTTTCAGACAGTCGTTCTCAGCCCAACCCACTTAACGGGGTTGTTGCTGTGGGAGAAAACGTACCCTGCTTTGAGCTCCTGAATGAAAGGCGGTGATAAATAAAATATAGTGCTCCACACAATATATAACATTTATTCAATTTGTGAAGGACTGCACGTGTGTCACTAATCCCACCATGGTCTTTAGACAGTTCTGAAAAACCCAGAGCAGAGACTATATAGCTAAAATCTCCCTTCCCGTTTCCAAACAGGTAATCCGAGCAAATCTATTCAGTCATCTTTGGCAAGGCTTTTTAAAGGCTCCTGCGAATTCCAAAGCAGAAGCTGAAGCTGAACTGCTCCGTTCAGCTCCTACTTCTCATTCAAATTGGGTTTTGCTGCATTTGTTTCCATGGTGACAGTTGTACTAGCCAACCCTGACTATATACAAAGGCACTCTGCCCAAACATGCCTTAAAGCGTGATTAAAAGAACCAGGAGAAACGGACAGCTCTGGGTTTTTTGGCTTCCATTCAGCAGAGCAGCTGTTTATTGACACACACACAGACACACACATACCGGAGAAATAGGACTTTGCTGTGAGGAGAGCAAATGGATTTGCATCTGTTCCTGCAGCTAGGCCAATTTGCCTATAACAGACCTTCTACAGAACGATTTTAGCAAGCTTTTGCTCTCAGAACCCTTCTTACGGATTTTCTTCCCAGGACTATTTATAGAAAGTAATGTAAAAAGCAATCTAGTTAATAAGATGCCATATGGAATCATTTTAGGAGGTACAATAAATTTTTAAACATCACCTTGTAAGTACCACGTGGCATCATTTTGATAGGTATGACATTTTTTAAAAAAATCAATTAAAATAAGTGCAAGGAACTATCTAGGCAGCCATTTTTAAAGTTACCTTTCATACAAGCGCTTCTTTAAAAATTACAACTGGTTAAAATTAGACTTCTGTTCTTCTCATACAAATGATGTAAAGTTTTTAATTCATGTGTAAATATTAGTATGAGATACAATTAACTATTAATCAGGAAGGCACATTAGGACAATGGTTAGGAAAGTGAACTGTTTTGCTGTTGTGAATTCTATTTTGCCCTTGCTGCCAATGGTGAGTACCATTTAAAATCTCTCACAAAATGTATTGTCAAACTTCCCAGTTTTGTCAGGATCGTCTTCCTTCACTTTGTAGCTGACAGATTCCCTTTGTAGCTTTACACGGCAATATCAGATTTATTATTACTTTCATACCTTCAGCGTTAAATTGGGACAGATTTTTGAATTCAAATCTAATTTTTTTCATGAAGATTTAATCACTGTAAATCTATAAAGAATATTTGTAGCTCAGGGTTGAAATGAGGGGTCCTTGGTATTCCTGGACTCAGTTATTTTCTTGCAAACATTTCATTATCAGTGCTTGGAATAGATAGCACTGATATTACTTACTTTGGGTAATGAAACGTCTTCAAGAAAACCACCTCATTGTAAATCTCATGCCTATGACATTTTGGAGAAAATATATTCTTAACTGAGGAGCGCATGAAACACTTTTTCACAGCAAGCTGTGCCTCATATTTCTCAGTAAAAATATAAGCATTGTACTGAGCTAGCTTGTGAGTGTTTTGAGTTCTGTTTCTGGCAACAGTGCATGCCTTTTTTTTCAAAATGCCCAAGCAAATGAGAAGAATTATTGGTAAGATTCAATCACACCAAGAGCAACTGACTGAAGTTTTCTATGCTTTTAACTTTCATGTTCCTAAAGTAAAAGGTGGAATTGAAGAGTACTTAAGAGCTATAAAACATTATTTTTAGTAAAATACCTAAGATCCATTTGGAATTATTATAATATTTTTCATTTTGTTCATGTCTGCCTTTATTATCCTACATTCCAAACAGGAGACTATTAAACAAATTTTAAATCAGAAGTTAGAATTATTTTTTTTAAAAAATGCATTGCTTGTAGTTTAAAAACTCACTTTATGTACTTACAATAATTAATCCTGTTTGAGAAATCCAACAGCGACACCCAGAGGCTAAGAATATTTGTCTCAGCACACAAATTCTTGATATTCTTTTTTTTAAAAAATGAATTCAGACTAGTCTTGAATCTTTATGAACTTTAAATGTGCATTAAGTTTCCACACTATTTCATTCCATCTAGAATGTTCATGCCCCTTTGTGAAGTTTTATTCTGAACATCGATAAGCCACACCAGTTCAGCACAAGAGGCTGAATTTTTATAAATCGGGGCCTTTCCTGCCTCTTTGCTAGCTTAAGTGGCTTAACACTGGGCAAGACAAAGACTTATTAGTTACATTTTTCTACTTGTGAGTACTGTAATCAAGTAAAAACCAACAACTTACTTTATTACAAATTTTACCATTTTATAAAACACATGTTTAATTATAGAGATAGCTGTATTGTAATTAATATTTTGAAACAATTGTGATTTTGAGCTTAAATTATATACAGAACTGTCATTTTTGTATGTGTTAAAAAGATTGCTATATGACAAAATACTTTTCAGTTTAATTACAGTATCATTGTAAATAAGGCTGAATGAAGAATCATTTACTACTTTATGAACATAGATTGTGAATGTAATTCAATGTTTTGCAGTATACAGATTTACTGAACTTGAAAGCTGCTTCATTTTATGTGAAAAAGTACTTTAAAGCTATATTTTAAATGAATTGATTCAGTGAAATCAATTATCTTTAATTTGCACATACAGATAGTATCTTTCCCATTTTACTTTGCGTATTGACACTAACTAGTAAGGTGTATATTGTGTCTAGAATGCATTTTGCAGATGCTTTCTGTACATAAAAAGAATACAGGGACTCAAACAATGCTGTGCAGCGTATAGCAGAGCCATTTTCGGCTTTGATGTACTCAAATTTTTTCAGTATTTAAAAAAAGTGTTTTGAATAATATATTAAAAAGTCTATTGTATAAATAAAGTCACCTTATTGTAAACATTCTGCCTTCAGAGCAATATATTGCAACAATTTCATCTTGTATCACTCACAGAAAGGAAGTATCAATAATCAGCAGCAAATCTCTCATTGGTTTTACTTGTACTCAGATTCAGACTTAGTTTTAATTTTTTAAAGACTCCCCAAGTTTATCTGAAGCATAGTTTGGAACATAAAAGAGTAGCTTTAAAGGTTACTTTCCTAGCAGCTGCCAGCATAGAGAGAACATTTGCTCTCCTGGGGTTTTTGAATTTTGAAGGTTGATGATCCTGCTGTAGCTAAAGTTCATATAGGGTGGAAAGCATCTGGCAGAGCTGGCTAGATGTAAAATATCTCTTTCTTTCTCTCTCTCTCTCTCTCTTTCACACACACACACACACACACACACAGAGAGAGAGAAAGAGAGTTTAATGCACTAGTGTAGCCTTTATGCTATCCTTAACTTCCCAGCTGCTAAAAAGGTCAGTGTCTACTGCTTTACACAAGAGCATTTAAGCATACTTGTTGGAGATTATAACTAATGCCCAGAAGCACCTCTTTGATCTGTAAGAATTCCTGCCAGCATATTTAGAAAACCCAAAACATTTTATTATATAGACAAAGGCAAACATCTAGAAGATGCCATAGCATCCTCTTTACCTCTAATCAGCACATCTTCTCTTTCTCTATAATAGGCGTTCATTTAGTGAATCAGTGGCCAGCATCTAATATCAAGATTCTGGAGAAATCACCTCTTACTGGAACAGTTGATTGGGGTAGGCAGAGGTGGGGTTATATGGGTGGAAGCTAGACCCCGGTGGCCAACTATGGCCCCTTTATGTCCTGTGAACTTCATTTCCCAGAATTCCTGAACCAGGAGCCACTCCTGGCTCAGGAATTCTGGGAGTTGAAATCCACAGGTTGTAAAGGGGCCATAGTTGCCCACACCTGAGTTAGAACCATCTGTCTCAAGTTTGTATTCAATTAGGATTGCAGTTTTTGCAATCAACCTCAGTACTTGCCAGCATCCAACAAATAATTCCATATATTGCTGAACAGATAGTATTTATACAAGGAATTAAAACCTTAGTCTTAACACTGATGATTCAACAGTACAACTCATCAATTAACTGAATGTTTACTTAGTATTTCAGGACTGGAATTTGGCAGTAATCCTCACTCAGACAGGGACTTTGTATCAGAATAAAATAATCTGAAAGCAAGCCAAGTAGGATACCGCAATGAAATAAGTGTATTTATCCTTTCAATTAAGAAACAAACATACGAGGACAGAATACAAATAAAACATTTGGAAAGGGTATTTACAATGTGATATTGTGTTGGGGGGGGGGAAATGAAAGGATTAATAGAACAGAACAGAACCTCACCAGTTTGCTTCCTACAAAACTAATATTTGCAATGATGCCTATGAAATCCACAAAAACCATGAGAGCCTACCAGCCCCAAAGTTGGGAATACTCTGGGTTAAGGTACTACTTCCTAATATTTGTGATACTCTGTATTGTGTGTTTGTTTCATTAGTATTTTTTGCATTTGTAAACCTGTTTAAATGCTATTTTTGAAATTGAATCTGATTTTAAAATACATATTACATTCATGTACCAAAATACCAATGGTATTTAGTTTATACTTCTTCTATAATAGCCTTCAGACCAAAGCCTTAATATTTATATACATGAATAGCAAACACATTTTTGGGGCGCTTAAAACTTTTAAACAGATTTCTAAATGGCTGAAAAGTACCAAATATAAAATTAGAACATGGCCATACCAGATATATATGTTGAAGGGACAGAAGGCCATAAGTAACCATTTGCTTTTTATATCACTCACCCAAATATATGCCATACAAGTATGGCCCCAAGGACAACCTGAGTTGCCTGCAAGTAGACTAAAATCCTTTGAGAACTCTACAAGCAATTTCCTAGCATATGCATTTTCAAGCAGTATGTTTCTCAACAACAAACACCATGATCTTCGTTCTTCAGAAAGTAAGATGTTGCACACTTTTTAGTTCACATCAGCAGCAACAGTAGGAATCCTGCTTCTCAGATACTCAAGAACAGCAGCTGTTCCCTTGGCCAGAATAGCTGCACGGGGAGTTCGGAAAGGGTTACCTTCCAATAAAAGTACTCTAAGAGAAAAAATAGAAATCAATTAGAGCTGCTCTTCATTCAGATGCAGAGTCTATAAGAACACAGAAACATTCAGAGGGAGTGCGGAAATCCATGGAGACTCCTCTCATTGAAATTGCAGAAAGCTGAATCAACATTTTCAAAATGCTTCCATTCGCATAAGGGTTTTGCTAGATTAAACAAACATTCAACAGCAATGTTGTATATATAATCTATTTACCTTTCAGTAATACTTTTGCCACTTATTAAAATGTCATTTTCTCCTCTACAGGCTACCCTTGAAATCATGTCCTTTCAGTATCTCTCTTTAAAGTCTACTTTCTATCTCAAACTCTACTCTCTATCTCAAAGGAGGACCTGAAATCAGCTTCATATTTTGATTGATTGGTTTTTCTTACAAGCTTCTCTTGCAGTTCTACATGCAACTTGCAAGAGAAACATACTACATAAAAGAAGCCCTTATCCATTCTAAATTCTTGAAACAAGGTCTACACATCAAAAGCCTACACATTAAACCTTTTTTGGGCCTTATTAGTATTCTGAACAATAATTATCAGTTTATTTAATTTAAAGCTGAACTGCTCTAATTTAGGTAATTAATTGCATAGCCATCACTTGGAAACGTCAGACAACTGGAGAAAGAAGAATTTGATTTATTTAGACATGGCCTTTCCAACAAATTGATTCTGAGGTTTTTATTAAATTGAACTCGGTATATATGATATTCAAGAATTTACTTAGCTTGATAGGGCATAAATCTGCTGGATCAGAATGCTCTACTCACTCATGTCCTGGTCACTTCCACATGGATTGCTGTAATACGTTCTATATGGGGCTACTCTTGAAGGCAACCCATAAGCTTCAGCCACTACAAAATGTGGTGTGGGTAGTTATATGTACACTTAGATCAGTGCACATTATGCTTCTGCTCTATGAGCTGCACTGCTAGCAGTCTGCTTCAAGGTTCAGTTCAGGTTGCTCATAATGTCCTCTAAAGCCCTATATGGCATGGGGCCAATTTATTTGAGGGACAACCCTCCATTCAATTATATCTACTTGCCTAATTAGGTCCAGCAGAAGACCATGTTGCGTGGGGACCGGGGTAGGGGTAGGGGTGATGTGGAGCTGGCAAAATGACTATGCTATTAGTGAGATTGTTTTCGCTCTTGTGCAGATTGTTTTTTACAGTTTTTTTACAGTTTTTTATTGTTTCAATGTATTTTAAAAGGATTTTTTTTTGTTTTTATGATGTAATTTTTTTGTTTATTGTGTTTTTAACTCTGTTCAGCTGCTCAAATTGACAGCTGAGCAACTGAACTTATTTGAACAAATTGAACAAATAAGTAAAAATAGCAGCACATGGCAAAGTGCTCCTAACTGAAAATGGTGCAAACTAAACTAAGGAACAGAATATTATCTGATGCGCCATATCCACAAATCACTAAATAATACCTATTTTCAAAAATAAAAGCAAATCAGTTCAACAGATATCAGTATAGCAGTAAACCATCCTATGAAAGCCCCAATAAATGTTTGTAATGCTGTTTGTAACAGTATTTTGGTAAAATAAATATGTTATTTAGAAACATTCAAAGCTAATGTGGTCACCTTAGATTGTCACAATTCCCAAGTTCTGGTGGAATCTGTAGGAGATCATTATTTTGAAGATCTAAAGTACCGAGATTTTCCATCTTCTGTAACTGTTGAGGATCTAGGGATCCAATCTGATTATTTCCAAGAAGAATGGCTTCAAGAGTCGGGATGCGATAGAGGACATTTGGAAATATTTTAAATCTATAAAAATTAATACACATTTCATTAGTAAACAGATAAGTTGAAATAATTTGATTACACTGAAGGAAAAAAAATCCATGGAAACAGAACCAACAATATACTGTTGAAGCCTTGTGATCAAGCTAGGGAGTAAATGCGACAAACTATTCTTTCAACACCTTATTGAAAAACATGAGTGATGAATGATGACATTACTATATAGCAAACTCTAAACACATGAAATTTATAAAAACCTTAATTATAAGGAATAAAATACAAAGAATTGTTTTTAATGGTAGTGATTTTTTTTTTAATAATTTTGTATCCTGAAAAGCCAATTAGCACTGCTTGGGTACTACCCATATTTTATTTATTTTTATTTTATTTATTGGCCACCCATTTTACCACAGGATATTTTTTTACAGAGCTTATGGGAGAAGATATTACTTTAACAAAAAAATAATAATAATGTATAATTGATCTTTGAATGACAAACAAATTGCCTGCTAACTACTCTATAAATGTCCCAAGCCAATCAATTTCTATGATTGTGAAGCAATCTTAAATTATTGCAGAATAGTGAGGAAGGGAACATAACATTTTGACATTTCCATTGTCAGAAGTTGGCTTTTTCAAATATGAAATCTCCCTAAAGTTTCCTGGGTTGATTGTGTTTGTACATCAGACTTGTTGGGTGACATAAATGCACAATGCTTTCCAAAATACAAATAGCAGCACCACATAATACCACATGATGAAGAGACTGTAAGAGCATTTACCTGTTAAAGGCAAGATTTATTGTCCGTAGTTTTGCCAATGCTTCCATTTCATCTGGCAGAGATGTCAAAATGTTATTTCTAAATTGTCAAACAGAAAAGCAATCACTTTTTATTGTATCTCAATATTTAAACTGAACTATGTAATATAAAACATACATAAAATGATGTTCCCCATCAAACAAAAATTAATATATCTGAGTTTGAAAGAAAGGTAGTTCTGGGGTTAAACAATAGGAGAACTGATGTTCTCAAAACCTGTTAGAAACTTCCAGCTAGTAAGATTGAGAAATACGTCAGATAGCCTAATTCAGTTTTT